AGAACATCAGGGAAGATCCTGGAAAGGGTTAAAGGAAGAAGTCAGTGACCCTTTGAGTGTGAGATCTCAGAGACTTGGTATTCCATAACTTCATTATATAGATGGAGTCCCTGACACCTCAGAAAGAATAGTGGCTGCCATTTATTGGGCATCTGTGTGCTTTACACAAATTCTCATTCAATTTGTAGACTAACTTATGAGGCTGGAGTTATTATCTTCATATTGCATATTAGAAAATTGGGACTGAGAGAGGCTAAGGAAATTGCTCAAAGCCATAGAACTAGTAAGTGGGAGAGCCCAGGTTTGACTTCAAATCAGACTCCTATGCCACCCTTCCCACTACTCGTTGCTGCTTACTAAAGATTACATGGGAACTTAGTAGCAAAACTAGGATTAAGAACCAAGGTCTGTACCCCCAGTCCTGTGACCTTTCTATTCTTTCATGTTCTATCTATGTTTGTTTTAGAGCCTTCCCAAGAAAGATTGCACTTGCCCCCAGGTAATATATTTAATATCTCAGAATTAAGAAGGTTCATTTTTTTTTTAAGATTTACTTATTTGTTTTAGAGAAAGAGAGCACACACACAAGTGCACAAGTAGGGGAAGGAGCAGAGGGAGAGAATCTTCAAGCAGACTCCCTGCTGACCAGGGAGCCCAGCTGGTACTCCATCACCGCCCCCCCCCCACCCATGAGATCATGACCCATGAGATCATGACCTGAACAGAAACCAAGAATGAGTAGCTTAACTGACTGAGCCACCCAGACACCCCCAATTTGATTTAATAGAGATTTAATAGAGATACCACTGCCTTCTTCCTTAATCCTCAATGTCATCTTGTCTTGGTTTATGTTCCCTTTCTTTTCTTTTTGTTTTTGTTTTGTTTTGTTTTTTTGGGTTTGTTTTGTAATACACAGTCACATTTGGATTTTAAGATTTCTTAATCAATAGTGGTTCTTTTCTTGTTTTACTATAACTCATTCAGTTTTATAAGGTAATTTCAGGAGTCCAACAAAAAATTGGGCAAAGGTTTAAAATAGCATTTTACATAAGGAAAACAAAAAAAGTACCAACACATGGAACAAAAAGACAGCCTTACTAGTAATTAAATATATACAACTAACTCATAAGAAGTTATTTTTTTTCCCCTCAGCTTAATGACTCCCAGTATTAGTGAGATTGCGGTAAAATGATTTTCTGCTGATGGTGTTGTAAGATGGAGTAACCTTCTCAAAGCCTTATGGCATACGTATCAGGAGCCATAAAAAGGGTGACAACCTTCAACCCTGTCCTTTGGCTTCTGGAAATTATTCAAAGAAACAATTGAACAGGAAAAAAAAAAAGAACCCTAGATGCATAAAAATGTTCATTGCAGTGTTGTCTATAATTTTATTTTCAAACTTATAAAATAAAAACAAAGAATCTAAATATTCAACACTACAGAACAGGTTGGATCATGTTATACTGACTCTGCATACAGTCCTATGTAGCCATTTAGAATAATTCCCAAGGGTGTGAGGTAATATGGATATATTTATGCTATTAGGAAATGAGCTAAAAGAGAGCAGGATCCAGGACTGCATATTGGAATCTACTTGTGAAAATGTATTTTGCACATCAACAAAACTGAAAGATAGCATACAAAAATAAAAATGCTTTGGGAGCTTAGGGGGATCCCGGGTGACTTTTGTTTCTTTTTCAAAGTTTTCTTTAACGTCGACGTTATATTGCATCTATTGTTTAAAAGAATGAGGTAGGGCAAATGGTACGGGGAGCTCAGGCCCTGGAAGGAGAGTTAAAGGACCTGCATTCTCCAGTTTTTCCAAGGTGGTGTGCCTTATTGGCCTTCAGAAACCTCCATCTCTCAGCCTACACAATGGGTTAACATTAGTCTCCTTTACCCCAGATTGACAGAATGTTTATTTTAGAAATCTTTTAACTCACTGAATGCAAGGGTTCACATAAATGCGGTCCTAGGAGAATGAGAGGTGGGAGGGAGAGGAAAAGATAAATAGGCACTAATTAATTTTAAAAGGAGCGGTCATCTGCTTTAATCGGAAATGCATATGTGCTGCGCCCCCAGTCAGAGCTTTAAGTGCACTCCGTGAGTTAGCACCCCCATCTGCAAGTGGCACCGTGGGGTCCTGTGGCCTTTGAAGATCCGAAGCCCATATACAGGCAGACCCAGGAGCTAAGGTGGCGCGGGGCCCACACTCAATGCCCTGCACCGAGCGACTCCAGCTGATGCACTGATTACACTGGTGTGTAAGGGGCGTGCAAAAGCCACGTGATGGGGAAATGACAAGACATTTTGAAACTCTGGTTCCATTTCCAAGCTTTCTCTTCAATTCGCGCTTTCTCTTTTAGCCATTACAGGCAAGTAAAAGAGATTCGATTATCTTGTTTCCTCTGAAGGGTTGTTTAGCCCCTCAATCCCATTAAGTCACTTTCTGCAGCGCCGTGCGCCCAGCCTTCCCCGGGTTATCAGCCCAGGACGAGTAAATGGAGACACCAGGATCGGATTTCTAAAGGAAGGAAAGTTAAAGTTTGAAAGGGGTGACAGCCAACAGCCAGGAGCTTAGGAACTCAATTAGCCTGAAAGACAACTCTCTCATTATCTCGTTCCGAAATGATCTAAATACAGAAGAATCTAAAAGTTTTAAATAAACTTGTCCTACTGACTGTCTAGATGACTGAATTTCCCTTCTCAAAAAATTTTAAACACCCACTTTCGTATTTATTTATTCTAAGTGCGAAGCGGCTGTGATAATTATGCTGTCAGATTCAGTAAGCTAATGAGGAGTCAGTCGAATGGAAGGTTTTGCATCTGTGGATCGCTGCAGGAGAACCGCTCGGCTGCTTTCTTCCTTCTTTTCTTTCTTTCTTCCTTTTTTTTTTCTTTTTCTTGTTTTTGTTTTCTTTTCTTATGAGTCCAAAGGAGAGTCGGGCAGTTCCAGGCCAAACTGGAATCCCTCTGATTAACTGGTTCCCCTCCCAACACTGTTTCACTGGACTATTTCTCTCTCTGTCTCTCTCTCTTTCTGTGTCCCCAATTTTCCCTCTCCCTCTCTCACACCACTCCAATTCCCTTTTCTCCCTTCTTTCTCAGCCACCAATTCTTCCTCCTTCCTCCTCACCCCCCCCTTCTTTCCCCTCCCCCCCTCTCCTTTTCCCTCCTCCCTGGCTTTTGAGGTGCTACTTTTGAGGGACAAGGAGGCCTGAGGGAAATCTTCATGCCACTCTCCCCAAGGCAAGAGGACACTTCTCCCTGATGGAAATTCCCAAAGTGGTTTGGGTTTGAATTGATTTAAGAGTAATCTGTGAAGTTCCCACACTATTTCAGCTGTTTATTTATGCTATGACAGGAACTAGAAAAAAAATGAATGTGAAATTGTGTATTATAATGTACCTGTGAGAATGTATTATGCAACCAACAAAACTTGATGTCTCCCCTTTATAGCCTAGCAAGTGTGTCGATCTAAACGCAAGGACTCATGGCCTTGGACGCAAGGACACAAAACTACTCATGGCATCCAAGGCAGATATGTAGGCCTATAAAGGCAGAGATGGTCCTGCAGGTTTTTAATTCTCTTTGGGTGTGAGCACCCTCCAGCAAACAATATTAAGGCATATTATGTTTTTGGTGTGCCAAAGCTAGAAGCTTCTCTTTTTGTTAAATTGTGTAATATTTACGGCAGCCCGGGTTGGCGCAGATTGTGAGCCTTGGAAAAGCAATGCCCAAATGAAAGGATGTCCGATGTAGGTTTGCGGATGTGCTTTGGTGACAATGTGGCTGTTGCCTCTTGCTGTTTTTCTCAGGTGGTATCTATGCTGATGGCTTGGAACAAAGGCTGCTGCTTATTAAAACTACAGTGTATCAAGAACAACCTGCGATGTTTCCCATATTATCTCCTTTAAACTTATAGAAATCTGCCAGGAGGTTTTACTATCCCCATTTTGCAGATGAGCTCCTTAAAATGTTAACCTTGGAAGGATTTGACCTATAACTTTAGCATAGTAAGCACCCAAGAATAACACTCACTTAACAACCAAACTGCCAGCAAACTGAACTAACCCAATACATAAATCAGAGGGCAAAGGTAGTGTGTGTGTGCGTATACACACATATATACACTATATATATATATATATATATATATGTACGTGTGTAGGTTTATATACATATACATTTATATATTTATGTATTTATGTATATATATTTCAATTTCTTTTGATTTACAAAAGTTGTACCATAGGGTCTATTTAAATAGATTGCCTAATGTAAGTAATGCACCAGGATTCTAAAGTTTCCAAAGCACATCTAGCCCCAGCATGATGCTCATTGCCTGCCATCGCTGGGACTACTGTCCAGACTCCTTGGCTTGATATTTACTCCCTTCACTATCTGGTTCCGACTCATTTTTCCTACTTCATCTACTAGTCTGTCTTGCTCTAACTGTGCAAGATTACTTTGCAATTCTCTCAGACACTTTCCTTCCACCTTGCCTTAGCTCATGCTGCCCCCCCCCCCCCCCCCCCCGCCAGCCAGCAATATCCTCCCTAGAATTTCTTGACTGTTGAAAGGATAGTCTTCCTTCATGGCTCAAAGGCCACTTGTCCATGCTTTTCCTGTGCTCCCTGGGGGACACAGGAGAGAGGCCATCCTAATTCTTTACTTGCACCTCACCTTCAGCCCTGGTTAGTGTGTATATCCCCAGTCCTGTTCCTGCTTTTGAATCTTCAACAGTATAACGCCTTACCCAAGTGCTCATTTGATAAATGTGTGTCGAATTGAATCAAATAAGAAGCACTTGACAAAAAAAAAAAAGCACTTGACAACTATTGGTAGATTCAGTAAAGCGAGTTGCCCATGAGTCAGTATAAATTATTGGTTGTGTTTTGATGTCTCTGCAGGTGACAAATATTACAAGACATTAAAAATACACCGTGAAACATTCCAGGAAATAATATGTTTGTGCTTCTCTCTTTTCTTCCCTACAGAGGAGTCTTTGTTTACAGTTTCAGGAGTGAGGCTAAAGCCAGAGATGTGTGACCTTTTGGTCTCCTACCGGAAAGGTCACCACCCAGCCCAGTTTAGCAAATGCTGGTGAAAAGAAGGAGCGACGTCACCAACATCCTTTCAGGTAAGTGGTCCCAACAGTGAGCCTCCTTATGAATAGAACTGAAAATCCATCACCGCCAGGTGGAGAGGACATTATTCACAGATTCAGAGCACCTCTATGCTGTGTCTTTCTCATTATTCCCACTCTAGGGACAGGTGGCCTAGCCTCTGGGCTGTGAAAGGAGGATGGTAATGTACATCACCTGTCTCTCTCACTCCCAGAGGAGAAGACTCCTAAGACAAAACTTATGAGTCATTATAAGGCCTTTAACTGGTACACGTGCAATAAAGTACCACACTGGCATGTTACATTCCCTAAACTGTGTAGTTCTCTCCATCAGCTGATAGGACAAATCAGAGCTCAAAACCCATCCCAAGACTGAGGAGTGTCCTGGGATGTGTGACATTCGGTGCTAAAATTGGCACAGCCCTGGGTAAACCTGGATGGTTGGTCACCATGGTGGTGCAAATTATACCTGGCCTGCCCCCAAGTACCAGAGAGGGCCTGGCCCCACCCAAGAGATGATTTTAGATGCCTGTGAGAATCTAGTCCTGCCTGTTCCCGGCTTCTTAGGCTACCCCTCCTGCACAGTTGATTCCAGGGAGTTCTCTCAGTGAGTTTGGGGAACACAAGGACCTGATGGGGGAACCATCCACAGTGTCTCAGACACAGCTACTCTCCTCAATCAGCCCAGGGTAGCCCAGCCTTCTAAGGTCATCTTTAGGAGGAAGTGTGGTATGGAGGATTCTTCTGACATGACCATACCCTAAAAGGAGTTCTGGGAGGCACAGGAAGCCAGATGGAACAACCCCAAAAGCTGTTAAAGTATAGGCACCCCATAGATGTTACAAGATCACTTTCCATACTGGGCCTTCCACAGTGGGGAGAGGGGACAGTAATCCAGATAGAGGAAACAAGGTGGGACCCACACACAAAGCTAGCCAATCAACTGGCCCTTTAGGTGACCTAGCTATATCCCAAGCCACAAGTGTTAGACTGTGATTTGACCACCCATTTGGCAACCACAACTTGGCCATGCTTCCTAACAGAACTGTTGGGGCCTAGATGGTAACTACTGACATGCTCCCCACACCTGCCCCCTTGTAACCTCATCCACATGACAGGATTCAGTTCTTTACCACTTTATCTTGGATCTCTGTCTATTGATATTTAAAGGCATGTACATATCAGAGTTGTGGCCTTCTGGATTTTCTAAAATCACTGTATTTAGAAATTTGGAAAAGTCAGGGAACTTTAGAATTATAGCTGTTCCTCAGAGCACTTTATGCAATATCCAAGTTTGTATATTTTGACAACACACAATTTTACAACAGGCAACACAATAATATGGTATTTCCCAAGCCCCTGGGATTTCCTAAAGCAATATTTAGGAAACAATATTTCCGAAAGCAGAGATTTTGCTGTGTAATTATGTCACTTGAAACCCCACTAGTTATAAGCATAGGGTGTATCTAAGCTACGTTCTATAAAGTGGAGGATTGGGGATCCCTGGGTGGTGCAGCGGTTTAGCGCCTGCCTTTGGCCCAGGGCGCGATCCTGGAGACCCGGGATCGAATCCCACGTCAGGCTCCCGGTGCATGGAGCCTGCTTCTCCCTCTGCCTGTGTCTCTGCCTCTCTCTCTCTCTATGTGTGTGTGTGACTATCATAAATAAATAAAAAAATTTAAAAAAAAAGCCTTTTAAAAAGAAAAAATAAATAAAGTGGAGGATTTACCCTTCATAAAATTATCAAAGATATTAATGGAAGTGGTCTCAGATGGTGGTGTTCCATTAGCATTACTATTACTTTTGGTATTGTCGTTATTTTATTTTACTAAGCAATCAGAAAGTGAGGCGATAACCCTTCCTCTCTGATCTTCAGAGACTTTCCACAAAGGATTGTTACCTACAGATAAAAAATGGTCACCAGGGAAGGTCAATTAAATGCAGCATGTCAAACTTGGCACCTGTGCCAGCAATTGAGAGAGGGAGGAAGCAGATTTAGCCTCTATTGGAGTAACCTCGTTGATATCCCTAGGCCCTTGGTATTAATGTAAGGAGATAAAACCCGTAGGAGATGAATCACAATAGGGAGAATCTAGAGCAATTAAACTGTTTAATAAATGGCTTGGGATCAGCAAAATCTGGGTGTGCTGTAGTTAAACAGACTAAAGGTAATCATATGGACACTTGGGGCCTGTAAACCTTTTCCACTAAATTGAATTTATGTTAAAATATTCACTTTTCAGGAGATTCAAAATGTAAATTGGGATATTAGGACTTGTAACTGGCAGCAATGCCTCAAAATTAAAGCTCTTATAAGATCCTCAAAATGCCAGTTTCAGAAATGGGGAAAAAAAAACGTACAATGATATCTACAATAGAGAAATAGAAGGGAACTAAAATTTCCTGGGTACATATTGTGTGCCAGGCACTATATGCATATTACTTCAAAGCTTGGCATGTTTTGAACAATGGGGTATGATATGGTATAACTGCAGCTTGTATATCTGGAGATTGATTTTTGTTATTTTTTAAAGCTCTTTTGGTTCTTAGTACCAGGGGTAAGACACAGTCTCTGTTATAATTTATTATTACCTTTTCTATTTCTATATATAATTCCATCAATAACTGTGCACTAATGTTGAATAGGTTTTCCTTAATCTGACTCATATATTTTGGATTTTGTTTATTTTTCATTTGCTTTTAGGGCTACATGACTGCTGTTTCAGTTTTAATTTGCTTTGCCGTAGTAAGAAGCTTCAAATCTAACTGCACAATGGACCAGAGTTTTCATGCCATCACCTGTGATCTGGAATATTGTAGATATGAGGTCCAAGGTAACAGACATGATATTTGAAGACAAAGCAATAAATAATTATTGCTGTTGTCGTTTGCGTAGCATTTAACATTGATTGGCTCAAAAATTAGACAATAGGCTGAAATTGTCTGAGAAGAGGATTTCTGAATATGTTCATCTATTTTGTGATCTGAAAGAGAGATCCATGGGCCAGAAGGACTACAGGCCAGATGAAAGGCTAACAATTAAAAGAATCTGGAGACAGAGCTGGTGCTTACAAGGCCTGTCCCTCCTGTGTTCACTTACAATTTCCCCCAACAAAAGGACTTCTGTGGCAAGGAGAGGATTAGTCTAAAGTTCAGAAGAGTCTCAAGGAAGATGGTTTCTTGGATAAAGTTGTCAACAAAAGGACTTGCTTAAGACTCTTTGTTAAGATTTCCTAGGGGGCGCTTCTTTCTTCATTAACTGGATTATCAAAACACACTACTACTCCACTCTTGCTGGGTTTTAGAAGTTTGGGTTGAACTCCTTTGATTTAAATTTTTTGGCTATCTGCTTCTACTGAATCCCGCTTATCGGGGATGATAGCAAAAGCGATGAGGAACCTAAGCTCTGATTTGATGGTGAGATACTGAATAGATAGATGAGAACAAAGAGTTCCAAAGATGTAATTCAAGCCCTGCTGCACCATCAGACACACATGCATGTGTGCACACACACAACCCTCAGATAAAAGGAGAGATCTGTCTCAGTTAACACATGTATCATTTTCTACAATGACTCCTTCTAAAAGAAGCCAGGGAAACTCAAATTACTTCACCCAGGGATCATCTACTCAAGAAATGTAGTAACCTAGAAACCAGAGACTTCTATATATCCTTTAGAAGAATGAGGAAGAACTAATTAAAAAAGAATTAAGAATAATACCTATGGATGCAAAGTCTGAGATGGAAAGAGAAAAACTGCATACAAGTGGCCCCAAAAAATCTACCTTACTATTTGATTTTAGTAAGGTATTTGACTAAACTTCTCCAAATACAACTGGAATATGAAACTGTGTGGGCTGGATTATGGGAAAAATGTATGTGCTCAGTGAAAATGGTTTTTCAACTTAGGGAAAAGCCAATAGTGGTGTGGTACAAGGTACAGTCTTAAGCTCCATTCTGGTCAAATATTTGTATTAATCACTTGAATAAAATTAGAGAAAGTACAGAATTTATTCACGTAACTCACTAATATAAGTAATTATTATTATTACTTCTATCTTACAAAAGAGGAAACTGAGACTCAACGAAGTTAAATAACTCATCCATACCAGAGTTAAGACGCAAACTAGGTCTGGCTGTCTCCAATGTGTGTGATCTTTCCAAAAATCACATACCTATCAGATCTGTAAATACACAAATCTTGAAGACACAGCTGATATTTAGCATTGGATTGTGATTCAAAAGACTGAGACCTTGCTAAAAGCTGATGCACAGGGGCACCTGGGTGGTTCAGTTGGAGCTCATCCCTCACCTTCTCCCTCCACCCTTCTCCCATGGCCCCTCCACCCACTCGTGCTTGCTCTCTCTCAAATTAATAAAGTCTTTTTTAAAAAATTTAAATTTAGGGACACTTGGGTTGCACAGTGTTTGGGCATCTGCCTTCAGCTCAGGATGTGATCCTGGAGTCCCAGGATAGAGTCCCACATCGAGCTCCCTATGGGGAGCCTGCTTCTCCCTCTGCCTATGTCTCTGCCTCTCTCTCTCTCTCTCTCTATCTATCTCTCATGAATAAATAAATAAAATCTTTAAAACAAAAATAAAAATTTAAATTTAAAAAAGTTAACGTGTATGTATAACTATATACCTATTAGAATGACCAAGTTCCAGAACACTGACAACACCAAATACCAGCAAGGAGGTGGAGCAACAGGAACTCTTGCTCATTGCTGGTTAGAATGCAAAATGGTACAGCCACTTTGGAAGACAGTTCGGCAGTTTCTTACAAAACTAAACATACTCTTACCACATGATCCAACCATCATCTCATGCTCCTTGGTATTTACACAAAGGAGTTAAAAACATGTCTGCACAAAAACCTACATAATTTGGACACAACCAAGATGTCCTCCAGTGAGAGAGTGGATAGACAAACTGTGGTACAACAGAATATTATTCAGCACACACCAAAAAAAAAAAAAAAAGAGCTATCAAGCTATGAAAAGACACGAAGGAGCCTCAAATGAATATTACTAAGTGAAAGAAGCCAATTGAAAAGACTACATACTGGGGCCACCTGGGTGGCTCAGTCAATTAAGCATCTGCCTTGGGTCATGATCCCAGGGTCCTGGAATGGAGCCCGGCCAGCTCCCTGCTCAGGGAGTCTGTTTCTCCCTCTCCCTCTGCCCCTCCACCCACTTGTGCTCGCTCGCTCTCTCAAATAAATAAATAGTATCTTAAAAAAAACCAAAACTACATACTATATGATTATGGCTATATGACATTCTGGAAGAGGCAAAACTATGAAGATAGTAAAAATGTCAGTGGTTGCCAGGAGTTTAGGAGGGAGGGATGAATAGAATGCAGAGGATTTTAAAGGAAGTGAAACTAAGTATGATACTATGATAGTAGATACATGTGATTATAATTTGTCCAAACCTGTAGAATGTACAACACCAAGAACAAATCCTAATGTAAACTCTGGGTTTAGGATGATAATAATGTATCAGTGCAGGTTCAATTATAACAAATGTAAAAAAAAAAAGTAAAAAAAAAAATTATAACAAATGTACCATCCTGGTAGGGGGAGGCTATGCATGTGTGGGGATAAGGGGGTATATGAGAAGTCTCTAGCTTTTTTGGGGGGAGGGGAGAGTCTCTGTAACTTCTACTAAATGTTGCTGTAAACCTAAAATTGCTCTAAAAAACAAAGTCTATTAAAAACAAACAAACAAAAACCCTAAAAGCTAATGAACAAACCAGTACAACATTTATTCCTATAAAATTTTATCTGATTTAATTTCTTACACTTTAGATTTAAAATGTCAACAAGTTAGGTAAGGCTGTGGCTTAATGGAAATTGGTACTTTTTAAGTACAATGTGTCTGGCTGCCCATGAAAGATAATACCAATACTTTTAGGTGATATAAATGAGATAATAAGATGGTGTCCCAGAGAAAGGAAATAGTTTACATTGATTAGGTCCCATCTAAATTATCACTTATCTACCCATCCTACTTTAAAACAAAAAGATTTTATTTATTTATTCATGAGAGACACAGAGAGAGAGAGGCAGAGACACAGGCAGAGGGAGAAGCAGGCTCCATGTAGGGAGCCTGACCTGGGACTCGATCCCGGGTCTCCAGGATCACACCCTAGGCTGAAGGTGGCGCTAAACTGCTGGGCCACCCGGGCTGCCCCCATCCCACTTTAAAAGAAAAATCGGGGGTACCTGGGTGGCTCAGCAGTTTAGCGCCTGCCTTGGGCCCAGGGCGTGATCTCAGAGTCCTGGGATCGAGTCCCACATCGGGCTCCCTGCATGGAGCCTGCTTCTCCCTCTGCCTGTGTTTCTGCCTCTCTCTTTCTGTGTCTCTCATGAATAAATAAAATAAAATAAAAGCTTTAAAAAAAAGAAAAATTATATTGAAGTAAATATTTACTGTGCATCTATTAGTTTACAGATCTGTTTAATCCTCTTCATAAGACTAGAAGGTAGGTGTAATTATTTTGCAAGGAAGAACACAGAACCAAATTTAAGTAGATTTAATGATCAGACTCTTTGTCCCCAAAGTCTGTGTTTTTCCCCACCCCTAATGGCAACTCTGTGCTATATGCTCTAAGAAGGCCTACTCGGAGAGAGGAGGGCATGGAGACCAAGGCACAAGGAGGAAGAGCCCAAAAAGAGAAAACCCAGGGGGCAAAGAAACTCTCTCCAGAGGACTGAGGGTTCTCACAGAGCAAAAAGGCTGGCCCTCTACTGGGTGGCTGTGGAGTTAAGGTGAATACACGGAAAGCTCAGACACGCTATTTTTGATACAGTAAGAAGAATCCTTGAACAATTTCACTTATCCACCAATGGAATGAGTTCCCATGACAGTAGTGGACTTTCTTTGACCCCAGAAGATATAGAAAGCTGTAGGAGGGATCCCCATGTTGCAGATTAAAATAACTGACTTCTAGGGTCCCATTCAATCCCAAGATGGTTGAATAAAGACTTTTGAACAGCTGTGGACTATACCTGGAATTATAGTAAGATCATATTATTGCAAGAACAGGTAGACTTTTGGTTTTTTTAAAGATTTTTTTAAAGGAGGGCAGCCCTGTGGCTCAGCGGTTTAGCGCCCCCGTCAGCCCAGGGTGTGATCCTGGAGACCCCGGGTAGAGTCCCATGTCGGGCTCCAGCATGGAGCCTGTTTCTCCCTCTGCTTGTGTCTCTGCCTCTCTCTCTCTCTCTCCCTCTCTCTCTCTCTGATGAATAAATAAATAAAATCTTAAAAAAAAAAAGATTTTTTTAAGGGACAACTGGGTGGTTCAGTTAAGCATCTGCCATCAGCTCAGGTTATGATCTTAGGGTCCTGGGATTGGCCCTACTGGCAGGCTTTCTACTCAGTGGGGAGTCTGCTTCTCCCTCTTCCTCTGTATCTGTCCTTCCACATTGCCTGTGCTCTCTCTCGCTCTCTTGCTCTCTCTCTCGTTAAATAAATAAATAAATAAATAATCTTAAAGATTTTTTTAAAGTAGAAATTGACAAAACTATTCCTTTTAATTATAATGGAAAATAAATCATGCTTGTGCTTTATTCTTTTTCTCCTTTAATAGTGGATCTGCCTATTCAAAAACTTAATAAAAATTATATATAAAACAACAAAACATCATTCCAGTCTTTCTCCTTAATTTTGTAAAAGGAGCACTCCTGGTGTTTATGCATATTTTTTCTTCCCATGTTTTTGTTGTTTCTTTTGTATAGACAGACACCTGACCTTTAAATACATAATTTATAATTCAATTTGATGTGTTAGTTATTTTAAGGATGCTTACTCAGTCACTAATGCTTACTCACCTAATATTTCTGTCTCCCAGGCTCATAATTGGATGGTACTTCCTGGCTCTCTGATAAGTGGATAAGGCTGTACGATTAGTGCTCACCAGTGAATTATGAGTGGAAGGGATATGTATCATTTCTGAGCCATGCATTAATTTCATTGTCAGTGCAAGACCCTCCAGATCTGTTTATTTTTTCCTTCTGTTACAGTGACTAGCAGTATTCAGGGTGACACCAGAATGAGGAGACATAGAACAGAGTCCCAGATGGCATATGATGAATATATAATGAGAAAGAGAAAGAAAACTTTGTTTTAAGCCACTAATATTTGTAATATTTGTTATCTCAGTATAACCTCGCATATCCTGACTAGTACTGGGTCACTGTCCAACAAGATAGTTACAAGCTATATGTGACTATTTATGTATACATTTAAATTTAATTAAGTTAAAAATTCAGTTCTTCAGCCACACTAACCACTTCAAGAAACCAAGAGCCACAGGTGGCTAGTAACTACCATAATGCACAATGCACCTATAGAACATATACATCATTGCAGAAAGCTTTGTTGAACAGTGATGACATACAGTAGTAGCACTTTAATGAGAGTTGGTAATGATATCTTCTTACTTTTCTTGATACTTTAAGTATGCATCTAATACCACCTTGGAGTTATTCTCAAAAAGTATCACCTTTCTAAAAATCTCTGGCAGTGTCCAGTGGAGATTATCTTCTGGAAGAAAATAAATCACTCTGGGTAGTTACATTCCTTAGAACTAGCAGGCTCAGAGGTCTTTTCCTATAGGTACATTAGCAGAGGATTGACACCTCCTTGTTACTCTTGAGACTTTTCATAAATGAATTCTCACAGTAGTTTTTAATCCATCCTCTCTAACTTATTCATATTTTCTACTTCTAAGTCCTCTGTATCCTTAAGTAGGTTAATGGGCACCTGGTATAAGATCCTAGATGCTCAGTAATGATTCATTCAAGCTTATGAACATCCTTGTAAACAATTGTTTCTATTGTAAGAGCTCATTGAATATTATAAGAAAAACTTTGTAGGACCCCCAAACTGAATCCAAATATAAAATAATTCTCCCATCTACTCATTCAACAACCAACTAGACACTAGAAATACAAAAAAGTAAAGTTCCCCCAAGGATTTTATAGTCTAATGGAGAATTAGATGGAGATAAATATAAGATCCAGTGACAACATATCCATCTGTCCTATCATGGAGGAGATGGCAGTCAATCTCTGTCTAGAAGTGAGAGTTTGCTGAACAGGCAATCAAAGGGGTGAAAACAAGATAACTCAAGTATAACACTGCATGCTAATTATACTTCAATTAAAAATAAATAAATAAACATAAATAAGATAGCCCTGTGTGAGGGAAATACAGAAGGGATAGGATATTTTTTTAATTGAAAGGGAAAGAATTGAAAGAATAAATTGATTAATAAATTTATTATTATTGATTATTAGTATAATAAATTCAATGGTTAAATCCATGAGGATATTATTTCATATAATATGAAATATTATAAGTGGTTCCAAGATTGATTAATGTCAATGACATCAACAACCCAAGTTCTTTCCATCTTTTTTCACTGAATCTTCAATGTCCTTCATTGCCTTATTCTCAGACTGTTCCAATCATTATCACCAGATGCTGCCACAGTTTCAGGAATCACATGGAGGTACGACAGTTATAGAAGAGGGCATCTCTTCCTGTCTGTTTCTTTTTCAAAGAAAGCACTTTTGTCTTCACATCTTAGTGATCAGACTGTCACATCTCTACTCCTAAATTACTAGCAAGGGTTATTGATGAACTGCTTTGGAATGGGCAGAAATCACTCCTGATCTGAAGCTGGGATCACCTTTCCTGAGATGTGAATTCCTGAATGGTCACAGCTTTCTC